TTCTAAATTTTAACGCGTCTTAGGGCCGTAGTGCGGTAGTGACACTTTTCCGGACATGGGTCCCTATACTCAAATGTTTTCTACTGTTGCACTGAATAACCCCTAGAAGTTTGATCCCATAGTTCTGAAACACCCTGTATATTATATTATATATATATACATACATATATATATTATTTCTATATACGTTCTTTTTAAATGATTTTTATTATAACAAAAGTAACCGATTCTTTCATTAGTATATAATACAATTAAATGTGTTAATTGTTATATTTTATACAGGAACTCCACCTTCTATCGATGTACCAAAGGACGAATATCCTGTGATTGTAACGCAAAACGAGTCTAATAGAACTGTTCTTATAGTTCAGGCAGCCGCTTACACGAAGTATGCATAAATCGTTTTCAGAAATAGATTATTTTTAGTGCGCATCATTCAACGAAGGTTATCAAATGTCACAAGGTTGGCTCTGATTAATTTGATTTTATTGCTTGAGTTGAGATAGCACATTTATGTTTTATTTCGTGGAAAAGACACATACCAACATGTATCTATGTGTGTTTGACAGTTCCGTTCATTTTATTTTACTTGTTTTTTTCAAAAGATATCTGGGTAATCTTACGGTATGGTTCGACGAGCAAGGCGAGGTCGTCGATTGGGACGGAAATCCGATTCTTTTGGATCGATCCATTAAAGAAGGTTAAATCACATTTTAATAAAAATTAAGTATGTTTAGCGCACGTCTATGTAACAGCAGTGTATTTAATACAATACACTGCATTTATAGATCCGGACATCGTAGAAGCTCTGAAGCCGTGGAAAGAGGAGGTGGATGAAATGTCATCGAGAAAAATCGGCAAGACCAGAGTGTTGCTCGATAAAAATTGTTACTACGAGGAATGCAATATAGGAAATCTCTTAACCGACGCCATGGTGGATGCGGTGAGTAATCTTTAATTACAATAATAATAATTAACTCAAGTAATTAAAGTATAAGTTTACATTAATTTTTCAGTTTGTGGACGCTGCCGATAATAAGAGCTATTGGACGTACGCAGCTGTGGCGTGCATGAATCCAGGAGGGATTCGCACTTCCATCGAAGAGTCTGACATCACTTACGGCGATCTACTGATGGTCCAGCCTTTCGAAAATACGTGGGACACTGTCGAATTAACCGGGGAATCTATTAAAAAGGTTAAGAGATAAATTCACTATTTAATATAAATTTATTACAATACAATGTTTCACAAAAAAACGATCACATAGATTTACGTTGCATAGGTTTACAAATTAAATAATTTACATAACAAATTTGGCATATGACTATGATCGTTATCTATGATCTACTTATAATTGAAGATTATAAAAATGATGAAATCCTCCCGTAATATAACGCCGGTAAAATAACGCCGTGACAAACGATATATAAACGCAAACGTGTATTAACGGTTGCCTCTCTTTAAGGGGCGCATAATTCAAACGAATAGACAAAACGAAGTTTGTTTCATTAAATGTTCTCCTCTTTTTTAGATACTTGAAATTGAAGGGATTCTAGCTTGGTCTGGGTTGAAAATTACTTATAGAAAAGATAACAAAACACGAACTGCGATCGACATTAAAATTAGGTATAAAAACTTTTATCAACAAAATTTTAAATATACGCGATAAAAGAATAAAATAATTAACTTAATTAAAATTGATCAAAAGAATAATTTTAAGTTTTTAATATATCAATAGGTGTCAAGATTGCGAATATCCAGTATTTGAAGATTTAGTGTATGATCAGTGGTACAGAGTGGTGGTGCCAACTTTCTTGATGATCGGCGGGGACGGTTATTACGTTTTCAAAAATAGCGGTCGTAATCATGAAATCGGGCCGCTTGATATGGACCACTTGACAAAATATGTGGAGAAAATTAGTCCTATATTTATAGGAACTGAAAGACGTATAACCTTTATATAAACTCTTCAGAATTGCGTTTCAATAAATAATCTTATAATCTTATTAATTAAGTAGACCTATACGTTTGAAGAGATTATGAACAATAATAAATTAATATAAAAATGATTTATTTGTATTATATAAAAACTATATAAATATTTCTTTAATTTGAAAACACACATGTTACGCAGTGTAAACAAATAATAATACTTATATGTAATTTTATTTATGAAAAAGTTAAACATAATTTTTATATTTGTAAATAAAAAATTTTTATTATGTTGTTCTTAGTTTTCTCTTTTATTATTTTTTATTATTTTTTATTATTTTTCCTAAACTTTTTACTTGCAAAAGATTTAGTTCTCTTTGTGTTTCTTAATTTGTTTCTTTATTGCTTATATTGTTGCTCCAGCCGTTTCATTTTCTAACCAGTTTATCGTTGTGCGGTATCTGTTTTTTTTCGCGCGGATTATTATGCTACCTCTACACTTTAACCGGCACGGACATTGATCTTTCCGAAATAATTCGAACAACAAAATCTGCGATAGAAGAACAATTTAGCGTCAAAATAGCGTCAGATTTCTGTGTCGATTTTATTTGATTGTGTTAAAGTTGCTATGCCAGGTTAATATGCGCGAAAAGGAGAAGAGTATGATAGCCGTAAGAAAGCAGGAAACACCGTCTGTTTATCTCGTGGTATCTCGAGATCGAGGCAGATGAAGCATTTAAATAATGTATCGAACAGGTGAAATAGCAGCTGTTCGTCCATGTTCCCTGCGCCTTCGACCAGAACGCACGGGCCGCTTTGTGGCATCGGCAAAGAAGGCCCGTTTTTAGTGACCAAAAGAAAATGAAAGAATTGCAACGATTAAAGTAAATTTAAGAGTATTTTCACCTTTCTATATCACATGTACACACACATAATATTTTTCTATTATTTTAAGTTTTAGAACAAAATCCACGCTCTATACACACAAATTTTATAATAAGTCTGTATATGTGTATATGTGTATATTAAATTTCTTTCTTTTGCAGTTTATATAGTGTTTTTTAAATATTAAATATTATAATTTTATTATTTTATATTATATTTTAAATATCAAGAAAGTAATGTGTATAACGGTTCCAAGTTTTACAAATTAAATAATGAACAAAGTTAGTGGTCAAAAGGAATCCACGACACGGTTGTTGGGGAACGTATTAAATATTAATATATTTAACAATATAATATATATAATATAATAATATATATAATAATAATATATAATAAAATATATATAATAAATATATAATA